TTGTAGGCCAAAACATCTGGAGGATTATAGATTGACCTTCTCTGGTTTAGAACAAGTACCTCTTACATACTCAAAACATGACAGGGACAGGTCTCCTTCTTTTTCACCTTTATTTTTTTTCTCAAACCAGAGCATTGGTTATTAAAAGAAAATGCACTACAGATGCTGTGAAATTCATAGCAGAAGGATAACTACAATGGTTATTCAAAGAGGGTAGTAAAATAGTAAGAATAATCAAATAATTCATGTAGTTCTTAAAAAGTCACAGAAGTAATTTGTATATTACCCAAGTAATAAAGCCAGCATGGGAGAGCAAAGTAAAGGTCATGGGACAAACGAAGAAATAGAGGCCACGCTTCTTGCATTAGACAGATACGTTTGTACATTCCTCCATTGGCGTGGGCTTAACAGACGGGAAAAAGCCAACCTCGGCTTCCATGCCTGCCTCGTTCCACCCTGGTGGATACCCAGTGGCTGGATAAGCCCCCGCATCTTGTATCACCACTGCCATTTGGCAGGCTGGTAGGAAGATTTCCAGTTGCATCTAACACTGCAGCTCTTGCCTCTGGCATGAAGTTGTCTAATTAATTTCTTGTGTGGGTAACCAGGATCAACTCTTCAAAGTAGCAGATGTATGTGCTTTGGGATTAATATTGGGTCTTGTGTCATATTAGCAGTTAGTCCTATAAGAATTGCACTGATATTCCCACCAGAGACTTTTATTTGGATGGGTGGATGGATGGATGTTTTCTTAAGATCCCAACTATCTCATTGAAAGATAAGAAATCCCCATTACACGTAAGCCGCTGTCACTGTACAAAATTTAGTATACATCTGCCAGCCCTACTCAATGTCCCTTTGGACAGCTGTATGTCTAAAGTGCTCATGGAGAATTAAGTGGCTTGGAAAGGCACAAGACGTCAGCGGATTTAACCTGCAAATAAGGTGGGGCTCACAAGGGATGCAATAGCAGAAAAAGGCCACAAGCTGTCAGCAGAGAATCGATCCTCTTTGCAAAACTGGAATGCTTGCCTTTTTGAGAACTTCTGTGCAACAAAAGTGGATAAAACCCCAGCACCAGCACTTCCTGATTCCAAAAAGCGGAATTGACAAGAGTGAGATTTAAGCTGATGAGCATGTTAGATGTTTGTCACTCTTAGACCGACAGAGAAATGGACATGAGGAAGACATTCTTAAGCCTACGGACCTGTGTCATTGTCAGCCCTAAGGTATAATGTTCGTACTGTGCTTACCTTTGTTTAAAGCAGTGAGCGGCCGTGAGCACCCAGGTGCTTGTAATAACTGTTCCCCCACAGATGTTTTCCCCCAAAATCTGTAAGCTGGTCTGCCAGGGCCAAGAATGTGGCACCACTTCCTCGCCTCCAACTATTCGACTGAAGAGAAACCTGGGCTGGTTTGATGCTACTCCACAAGCGTCATCTGGTGAGACACAGCAAAGAAGATAATGCACCTTACAAGAAGTTTCAAGTAGTCAGTGTTTGGTTGATTCTGCAGCAGAGTTGTTAGGAGCACTTTGCATTTCTGGCAATCCTGTTTCTGGCACACTTGCTAAATAAGTCCCACCTATTTGGGGCATTTACGTCTGAGCAAAGATTAACAGGACTGGGCTGCATTCCAGCAGTCACTGGGGAAGCCACTCATCCGGCAGACCCCTGGCAACGATGGCGAAGGGGTGGCTTGCAGCACATGCCACCTTTGCCTCTGGGGACCTGCAAGCAGTGGGGTGTGGGGAGGAAACACCCTGTGCACCTCGACGTGTGTCCAGTAGTTTCTGCTGCTCTGTGCAACCTGTTCCTGGACCTGGGGGACTAGCTGCTTGGCAACCAGGCAGTGTAAGGCCGCTCCATTCCCCCTTACTTGTGAGCAGTGAAAAGGAAGGCTACGTGGACATGCACATGGTGACCTGGCTCGTCGTCGCCAGCTGTGGCGTGTTTAAATCACAGTGAGCTGCAGCCTCTGCCTTGTGGTTTTTGATCACACAAGCCACAGTCATGGCCTGCTCTGTTCTCCAAAGCTGCGCAAGGAGGGCCGTGCAAACATTGGCCAGTCCACGAGCACCTCACGGGTATGTGCGAGTTGTTTAATGGTCATACAACCCCTGCCACCCAGGTCTGGAGGACGCAGGCTGCAGCTTGAATATTCACAATGGCCTTCACACTATTCACGATATTCACGATGGCATGCCAAAGGGCTTGCCTGATGGTGCAAACCCACCCACTCACATGCCACCTCAGTCTGCAGCTTCGGCTAGTGAGGCACCTCGCTGGCTGTAATGACGACGCTTGCATTCAAAGAACTGCTCTGCTTCCCCTCAACTCACCCCCATCATAATGAAGCCTTTGGCGAGGTCTGACTTTTTCATAACTCCCATCGAAGGCACAGGGACTTAGCAATGGCCAGTGTGCTCTGAAAGTTATTCCATAGAAGCTTTTTAATTGGTGTGTCCAGTGTTGTTAATGCACTGGCTTGCAAGCTCGGACTAGCTTACTGTGAAAGCACAGTCTCCAGACAAAATCTGGCATATGAATAGATATATATAGAGAGAGAGAGAGAAGGAGAGAGAGAGAGAGAGAGAGAGAGAGAGAGAGAGAGAGAGAGAGAGAGGAAGCAGAATTGGCACCGAGTACCCTGCAGAATCCCCCAGTTACATCTTCAAGCCAAACTCCTGGTCTTCTCTACATTCCTTTTGCCCCTTCCTTGCCCCTGCCCAGGGGTACCTTGACACAAGTTGATTTACCAGGAATGTCCGTTCCATTCGTAATGTCACTTATTTCTTCAGGTAGCATCACTTCAGTGCTTGAATTTGATATGTTTAAATCTGACAAAGAGAGATTCTCATGATTAGTGAGGTGAACTTTATTTGACTTGCACAGGGAAAGATATAATTTGAGGCATTTTAAGGGTTTGTGTATAGAGGTAATAATAATGGGCCTGCTATTTTGGGGTGGAGCGCCTAAATATCATTAAATCAATACTTTCCAGCTGTCTGTTTCATGCTTCTCCAACCTGGCACCCTCTCAAGATGTGTTGGACTACAGCTCCCATCATCCCCAGCCTACATGGCCATGTTCTGATTCAAGTGATCCACAGAAATGCTGCCAGATATTCAAGAATATTCAAGATATTCAGCTCCTGCACTTGATTACTTTTTCCCCATGATAAGGGAGACCGAAACCTCTGGATTTGGTTGCTGCCTTCAACTTCAGATACAAATGTTGGAGACTGAACCTACTTGTGACTAAAGCTGACAAACGTTACACCCAGCTTCACAGAACCTGCTTGCCAAAAAAAAGCACATTCAAAAGACAAGATATAACTATTCAAATAACCACATGTGCTTTTATGTGTAAAACAAAACAAAAGCTTATTAAGCAAACCAGAAAGACTTCCAGCAATTCTAAGTTTGTTTGATTGATTGATTGATTGATTGATTGATTGGTTTTTAAATGACTGGCAGTAGTCAAGGTTGGGCAGGAAGCAGACGGCCAGATATTGTGGATTTCCGCTAAGCCCTGCCACCACGGAAATGCTGGGAGCTGCTCTACAACATCTGGAAGTGGACCACCCCTGCCATAGCTGACCACCTCTCTCCCTTCCGCTCTTTGGTTACCTGCAACACCAACAAACAAAAACCTGGCCCTGAATCCACCAAAAGTCTCTGTTTCATCCGAATGGAACCAGATCAGCATGGTGCTAGACGTGCTCAGCACTGGTGCTGGGACAGCAAATCCACATGATCGTGCTGAAGAAAACAAGAGACAAGATTCTCAGCTGATGAGAAGCAACTTTCCACAGACAAAGGGCCACCATCAGCACAGGTAGCACAGTACTGACCGCATTGGGAACTGTATATACAGTTCTCTGTATATGCATTATGAGATCTGCATTATACATAATGTATATGCATTATGAGAGATGTAAACTGGATGCTGACTAGTGGGTTCTCAGTCTGTTACATTATATTTACATTGTGTTGTTTTAAAAGAGAAATCTTTAGAATAAACCTTCTATAATTTGTTAAAAGGAAGGATTAAAATGCAAGCTTAATTAAGCAGTGAAAACCAGACTGAAATGACATGTAATGACAGCACAGCATAATCGCTTTTTTAAAGTAAGACCTTCACCAATGGCTTCTTTCTTTCTTTCTTTTATTCATTACCCTATAGCTGAGCTCACTTCTGGAGTGGAAGCCTGGTTGAAGGAGTTCTGGCATCAGACTCCAGGAAGCGAAGCAGCAGGAGCTCCCAAACCTTTGCTCCACTTCCTTGATATACTGAGACTGGAGGCAAATCTGAGTTTCAACAAATGGACCTGCTGTTATCATATGTGACCAGACAAGTCTGCAACACGATGAGCTTCTCCACATGAAGCATTTAATCCAGTGCTTATCTGAGATTTCTCCTGTTTTCTTTGCAGGAGTAAGAATGCATCCTTTACATGTGGGCATTTTCTTGGGGTTTTCTTGCTCTGCCTTCCTGTATCTGCTGTGACACAAACACAAAGTGGCACAGCGGTATAGTGCAGCTGTCGACATTGTGGAAATACATGAGCTTGTTTCGGTGTGATAGCAAAAAGAAAGCTGATTATCTTTGTTCTTTAAAAAAAAAGGACAAAAATGGCTGCAAAGCATCGGAGGGTCTGAAGGACACCAATATATGTCAGCTCTCTGCAAACTACCGTGAGTAAGGGATTGCAAGTGCACGATACACGGCTCATCTAGTGACGCTTCAAGACAGCCTGTAGTGGTCAAATAATAGAATTGCTAGCTTTGTTGATTGCTTGATAGGATCACAGGGCTTTGGATCTTGTAGGATCACAAAGCTTAGTGTAGTGCAACCTTCCCCAACCTGGCACTCTTCTGGAAGTTTAGGACTACAACTCCCAGCCTTCCTGACTATTGCTCATGCTGGTCTTAGCTAATAGATGTTGAAGTCCAAATATCTGGAAGGCACGGAGTGAAGGAAGACAGGTGTACTCCATGCTCCTATTCCAGGAACATCAGCAGCCTCACTGCACCCAAAGGACACTTAGAGCGGTTGTGACTCACAGTAGGTCCTGGGGCAGGAAGGTCATGTTCAGTCTAGCCTGTGAGGTCAGGAAAATGTTGTGCATTTGTGGATGAACAGTGTTCAGGGTGTATTGTTTTATATTATGTCTTTATCATATTTATTTGTATTCAAATTACCGTGCTGATTGTGATTTACATTATTGTGGGGTTGCTATTGTTTTGCTGTTGTTTTAATCGTGTATTGCACGTGTAAGTCATTGCAAGACTGCTTTGCACAGCAAGAAAATATATAAAATACAAACACAATATCAACCTGATCCTACTTAGAAACTAAGTATCATACTGATGCTTACAAGGAGGATTATCAGTTCAAGCAGCAGCAGCAGCAACACTGTGAATATATTTGTAGTTTTGCAATCTAACAGTAAATTGTATAAGGTCAGTCAAAGTTGTTATAATGGTATTGCTGCTGAAATGCTGAGGTTGAGGGACGGGAGAATACGTTTATAGCAATATGTTTATGGCAGAGGCTGATTTAGAACTAAGGACTCTGCAGTTGACAATGGGTTACACCAACATTCCCAATATAGGAAGCAGTTTAGTTAAGTAATATGAATGAATGAATGAATGAATGAATGAATGAGAAGAGTTGTTGACCCACACACTGCTGAAAAGAACAGGCAACATCACAATTAGGGAGACAAGTATATTGACTTGGCAATGTACATCTTTCAAATGAATTCACATTCTCCAACTTGACCTTACAAGGCATATTGACTTTGCAATGTGCGACATTGCCTTTTGCTATGGTCAATTAGTGAATACTTTCTATACCTTCATATGAATGAGAACAGTTTGTTGGTGCTTCTGTATAATATTGATTCACCTGAAATTAACCTAAGCAGCTTCAGAACAGAGACATGAGGCTTTTAAAAAGTCAGATGAATTTGTCTCTGTTTTGAAGCCAGTGGTGTCCTGTGCTTTTCCAATTATTCTTGTGAGACTGTCTTCCAGGGGAGAAAACTAAAAAGAATAAACATCAGAACTGAATCAATACATACAACTGCAAATGAATACACAGGAACAAACCTATTTTGTTCTCCTTTGCGACATTTTCATAGACTGTCACTGAGTCATAGGCACAGTCCTCATCTTCTTCCAGTTCAAAATGTTCATATATAAGCTTCAGAAAAGTAAAACAGCAAACCGAAGTTCATGCAAACACAAAGAAGTTTTCAACTAAATGTTTTCCCTTATTTGCCTTATATCAATCAGTGATATTATCAAAGATATTAGCCCATCACTGTGTGCATGGCATGTAAGAAAAAGTCCCTAATTTACACAAAACATAAAACAAGGCAACAATTTGATGCTCACTTATCTCAGAATAAGTCCCTAGTGAACACAGTGGGACTTATTTCAACAAAGATAAGTTCAGGATTCCACTGTGCATCACCAAATTAGAATGCATAGCAATTTGTATATGGAAAAAGATCCATATGCTTGATTACAGTCTGGTAAGTCTCCGAATGTGAGTAGCAATCTTTTGATGGCATGTAATAAAGATACCAGTTGACTGCCATTTTTAAAAGTTTAAAAGTTGCAATCATTTTTAAAATACAAGGTTTAAGGCAGGGGTCTCAAACTCGCGGCCTGCGGGCCAATTGGCGGGACGGGCAGGGCACGGGGGAGGGGCCCTGCAGCCTTCAAAGTGCCGGCGGTGCCCGGGCCGGCCTCCGGATGAGCGGCCCACCCCCACCGTGGTGGTGGAATACTTGATGCGGCCCAGCCTCACCCAGACTCGGCCCCCAGGTAAGTTGAGTTTGAGACCCCTGGTTTAAGGTGTTGGGGGTTGGGTTTTTGCTTTTGCTTTTGCTTTTAATCAACACTTGGGCAATACTGCTACCACCTTCCCACTGTTTTGTTCACACCAGTGGGACCAATTACTAGGGCTATGGGATGATCCTATTCCTAAAGCAATCCTGTAAGCAAGGGCTTCCAGCAGAATTTTCTTCTCAGAAATACATATTAATGTCAACAGGGTTTACTGCCACATATCTGTGTATGTAGCTATATTCATAAATGTTAATTCATCCAAAATTCCAACCTCCTACGTTCCAGGGGAAAGTATAAAATGCATCTAATGTACAAAGGCAAAAAGACAATCCCAAAGGGTGCATAGTGGGCAGTTCAAATGTCAGCATCCAATGGTCGTTGCAAATTTGTCAAAGCAAAGACGGCTAAAAAGAAGATAACACTGGGCCTGTGTTGTGCCCCCTGTTTGGGAGAATACTTGCTGCAACAGGCTAATGGACTCCTACATGGATAGACATCAAATTCTCAGTCTTTGCCAGGCCTCCATCCCCTCCCCAGCCCTGCAAAGGCTTACCTAAAAGCATGATTAATAATGTTTGGAGTTGGTTGACTCCAAAATACTTTACTCGTATTCAGAATGCATATTTTAAAATAGATTATTTCTTTGCTTCACAAAGGTTAGCAAAGGATGTAGACACCAGCACTACATGGAGGTACCGAGGCTGTTCCAGGCCATGCATACCAACTCCAAACGTATGAACAAGGTTAAAAAGTCAGAAGATCAGACCAAGGGCCAGGATTTTGTTCACAGAGCTGCCAACCAGATTCCTCTGAGGACCCCACAGACAGGCCCTGAGCAAACTGGGACCTTCTTGCTTCTGATCCCCAGCAGCTGGAATTCAGGGGCAAACTTCTCTGATGCTGGAGGCAATGTAGAGTAATCAGGACTAGATGTCATGGATAACCACCTCCTCCTTGAATTTTCCTATTCTTTTAAAACCATCCTACTAGGTGGCCATTGCTGTACCTCATGGCAATGAATTCCATATGGGGAATGTGAAAATGCCATTCCTTTTAACTCTCCTGAATATCCCATAATTCAACTTTATTGGGCAAGCCCAGGTTCTAGGATCTCCCTATTCCCTTCCTTTGTGCCATTCATCATTTTATACATGGGGTTCTCTAGCCCTTTTTTCTAAAATAAAATGACCCTGTTGTTTTAAGGCTGAAGATAGGCTCAAAGAGTGCTGAAGTTTGCATCATTCGGTTTAAACCACTTCCCAGTACAGCAAACCCTAAAAGAGGTTAGGGTTAGGATACAGCCTTGGAATAAAGGTGGCTTGGGAATGGAATATAATTCTGCTTGTTGAAGGATTGCACTCAGTTAATTGTATAGGTATTGTGTAAACCCTTCTTGCCTTGTACCTTGACCACATGGTTTTCCGGAGCATGAATAATCCATTGACAATCTGCCAGGTCACTGTATACCTCAGGGTAGTGCATGCTTTGTACCGTCCCTTCCTCAAAGAGAATCGCTAAAGATTCACAGCCAGAGTCTAGAAGTACAGGGAAATAATATTAAAAGGAGGCAAGTGAAATGGCTGCTCTGCATACTGCAAATGCACAGGTACACTTCTTGATTAATCATGCTTAAAGCAAAGTATATAGCTTTTTCTATTAAAAAAAGGCATTGCTTCAGGGGTACCCAGAGTCAGTTAAGTTACTGGGTTAATGGGTGAGCTTACTATATTTGGATCTCAAATGAAACATGGAAACATAGAAACAGAGTGAGTCAGAAGGGGCCTCCTGGCCCATCTAGTCTGACCCCCGGCTCTAGCTGGCTCCACTCATGGCATGCCCACCATGTGTATGTCCAGTGTATCCTTAAACAAATGTTTAAGTGTAGGTAGCTGTTTTGCCCTTGTTTGCCCTCAACTCTTTCAGATATTATTTGGCCTTTTCTCTAGATCTAAATGCTCAAATGACTCATATAGCCAACACTGAAGCAATGATGTGTGCTAAGACACTTGCCCAATATCTACGTCCTAGTTCCACGACCATTTTGTTCCACGACCTCGAAAGCTACATAATGGAGTCTATCCAAAGGGCTCCCAGTGCAGGGGCTGTCAAGGTCTCTAGAACGACTACACAATCATAATGCAATACAATTACAGATTAGGTCTCTATGGTTCTTGTATTGTGGGGCCTCTTTGGTCTCATCTCATGGCCATTCTTAATGAACCATGAAAATATACAGAATGTCAAACTAAGGGCAAGCTCAAATTGCAAAATGTATTGATCAAGAAACTGAACACTTACCTAGGAGAGTACCTGGCTTAATAGCCTGATAAATCATGGAAAATCCTGTTCCATGGTCCTTGTTGTCAGAGACAAATTTTAGCCTTACACTATTGGAGCCAACCAAAATGGGTAATGGCAGGTCCATTCCACAGAATTTCCCTGAAAGGTGTTAAATGGTGTAAATGTAATTTTACTAATATTTCCTGTGGAATAGTTCCACTTATGTCAAAATAATTTGCTTCAAAAAAGGAATGCTTAGCAACAGTCTTCAGGCTACTATACAAAAAGCACGTGTAACATAGTGGCAATATTGTGAAATCAGCATAAGATTCTGTGGGATGGGATGGGATGGGATGGGACATGTCCCAAAAGTGCCGGGCTCAACCCAACGTTGGTAGCCACATTTCAGCTGCATTACCTTGTAGGATATCTAATAACAAAGCCTGTACTGGGTGCCCCCACAACCCTCTCAAAATCCAAAGTCTCTCATCTCTAAATCCTTCCCTTCCAAAGAAGCAGAAATAGAAAAGCTTTTTCCTGGAAGTATAGCATTAGTTCACCTATGTCTATGGAGCTGAGTCAACACTGCACATGACAATGTGTAACCAAATGAGGGGAAGCAAACAAGCCAGTAAGAGCCACTATTGGAAGGGATTCCATCTCTCTCCAAGTCCCACCATGGGGGTTATATTCATAGTCATGTTTTAAGGAAAGGCCGGGGAGGTGATGAGAGAGGTGCTGGGCTCTTCTCCTGCCTGATCCTTCTCTGCTCCAAATCTCCCAGCCATGTTTAATCATCTCCATTGGAAGTTCACTAGCAAATATGTTTGGAGTCCTGTGGGTGAGATGCAACTGAGGGGTGTAACTTGGACCAGAGTAGCAGAGGGCACATAAAGAGTTCAACATCTTCTCCTCATCTTTAAAAGGGTTGTATTGCTCTTTGTGTTCTCATTCATGCCATAATAATCTATTCCACATCAGTGCCTCTTGACCCAAATCCTAATTATGAGATGCCTAAATGAAAATAATACTAACAATTCTTCTAGTTTGAAAAGTCAGGAATGGTACTTTAGATGAATATAGAAGGGATCATGGTGTCCAGAGTAAAATTTCCTGTGTGGATAGGTTATGGTGACACAGCCTTTGTTCACTTCATCAGGGCAAGTTCTCACGCCAAATTTTGAGTAATGGATTGCAGTGATATTACATGGAGTGAGATGCACCATATACAGTTGATCAGCAGTAACAGGACCTTATGCACTATTTTGAGGGGAGCTTGCCGACGATTGCAGTCTATTTTAAAGCAGAAACTCACCAATGAGCCTACCATCTGTGGAAATCACTGACAAGGAGTCATAGTCACAGAAGACATCTGGCTCGACATCGAAGTGGGAAAAATTCAGCAGTATATGCATTCCTTCTGGGACAAGCAGAGTCCAGACACACAGCCTGGATTGAGGCACAAGGAGGAATTCTGGTTGACAATCGATCAAGAAGGTGCAGGCGCTTGATGCCATACATGAAAAAGGATTTGCATATCTTTCTTTTTCTGCCTGGAATTCTATTTTACTTCAAAATAAAATTAAAAATACAGCCAGCAACAAGAAAGCACACACATAACAATATGATCCCCCCCCCCACCAAGAAAGTCATGGCTTATACTCCTTAGTATGTAATGGATGTGTCTGTGGACAATTAGAGTAATAGAGCAAAGCAGCCTGAGGAGAAGCTCACTAGTGGAAGATGGGGTATTTGAGGGCGCGATCCTATGTGTGCTTAGACAGAAAAAAGTCCCACAACTCCCAGCAAGGGTGGTTGAGAAAGGCTGGCAGTTGTGCGACTTTCTTTGTATTGTATTTTATTGTGTTGTAAGCCGCCCCAAGGCTTCGGCAAGGGGCGGCATAGAAATGTAATAATAATAATAATAATAATAATAATAATAATAATAATAATAATAATAAACATGTGCATGGTTGCACCTGAAGAGCACATATAAGGTGCTGGTGTGCATCTTCTATAGTCAGGCAAGACACTTGCCGTTCTGCCTGGCTGGAATCGGATCAGATGCTGGAAGGGCTGGCGCCCACGAAAGGAGCGCAACCATGCTGCCGGCGTCCTTCTGAAAAGTAGGATTCCTTACTTGCGTACTTGCCGAGTAGGCTTGGACACGATCGTGCACATGGCATTAGAAGTGTGGTGAGGGCAGAGGCTGTGCCTTCACCCCCCATCCCAGCGCCTGCAGGGCAGTATAAATGCAGTCACGAAATGCTCTTTAAAGCTTCCCCACAGCCGGGAACCCTGCCACAGGGACCAGTGAAAGCACACTCAGCTGAACACACTTATAAGGTTCCTGCAGACAGTAGTGCTAAACATGCAAGTATCCTTAGAGATACCTGCACAGCCAAGTTCTTGAGGGCAGGGCTTGTGTGTGTGGCTTTGCCTCACATCCCTTCGCATGTGCAAGCCGATGAGCTGATGAGCAAGCAGGCAAGCAAGCAGGAGCCAGGATGGGACATCCTCTCTCTTTTCTACACACCCCACCATAGATGCTACACAGGTCTATAATCTCCCAAATAACCATTGCTGTTTACACACTTGCTTTGCAGACTTCCAGCTCATGATATACACATTTGTGCCAGCATATATATGCAATTGCTTTAGAAGATCCGTGCAGGCATCCTAGGTCAAAATGATGAGGGAGCGAGATTTATAGTTCATCTACTCACTGGTTGTCCTGATAGAAACGTTTTGGATGCTCAGGGAAAAGCAGCTGTCCTTCATTGTCTGGAAGTTTGCCGTCCTGAATGCTGCATGATGCTGTATTGTGAATATGGAATAGGGTATGACGGAATAGAAAGAGGCGACGTGTAATTGCATGTATTAATATAACAACCATAAAGCAAACAAGAGTTCTGAGACAACAGTGGTAGAATTTGTCAAATTGCTTTCATTATGAGTTTATATTAATTTTGTGCTTAACTTTCTTATATAAAAAATAACATCACTCTAAGAAAGAGCATTATATGAGTGAGTCAGCATCTTTCTACCCTTCACAGTAAATACTTTTATGTTTTGAACAGTGAGCGGTGTGCAGCCCTCAAGACAAGGCTTCTGCAGCACTGGAAATGACCAGATAGCTTTAGAAACACAACTTCCAATGAGAACTTAGGGACCCTCATACAGAATCAGACCATTGCTCCATCTGAGTTAATGTTGTCTTCCTGGGCTGGCAATCACTCTCCCGTCTTTCTTTCAGATGGGAATCTTTCCTGGAAATGCAAGAATTGACTTTGACAAGTAGTGGCTTTCATGCCAAAATACTTGCCCTACCACTAGGCTTCCCTTCTGTTTCACCAAAAATTGCCTCTGAGCTAAAGAGAGGCTGCTGGTCGGCCACAGCGCTCTAGGACAGGGCTGCGCACAAGGTAGATCTCCAGATGTTTTGGACTTCGACTTCCAAGCCTGTGACAGCACAGCCAATGGTCAGGAACACTGGGAATCCAAAACATCTGGAGATCTACTTTCTCCTCACCCCTGCCCTCATAACAACAAATTACCTGTTTTGATAGAGTGTAATCCTGCAAGAGGATATAAGGGCTCTTGGATTGGAATAGCAAACAAATGGCTGCACTAATTTCTCTAGAATCAGCCTAAGTAGTCAACAACTTGTTCCATCTTATTCTGCGTGGGAGGGCTTCCTGAGCATGCATGCCCAGGCAGTGGCCTCCAACCTCTGAAAACAGTCTCAGTGTGCTAATTAGTTGTTTCTGTGTTTGAAGAAATGTTCACTTTCTCTGTGAAATGAAATAAGCGAATTAGGCTATAATCCTATGCCCATTTATCTGGGAGTAATGTCTGTTGAACTCTATGGGATTTACTTTTGAGTTGACATATATAGGTATATAGCCTTGGGGCTGATGGGCAGGGTAGAAATATAATCCATAAATACATAAATGTGTCCAGTTAATGAATTAACCACTCTGCTTGTACAGGCCATGAGTTCAAAGCGCTCGCCACGTACACCAACATGTCCCAGGCCCTGCCGTGCACCATCTTTAGTGTTCTGCAAGCAGGGCTGAGGTGTGAAACTCCAGAACACTCACACGGGCTTATCAACCGTGCTTTTATTGCTGAAGGCTAGGATTTAAATTCCCATGACATCATATACACAGTGGCACTATTCTTTTCCAATTACATCTAGAAAAAGAAATATTAATGCATTCACAAATGGCTCAGAAGTGGGACACTGATTTTTTTAAAAATCTACTTCAGCTGAAGAACCACATTAAAATTATGGAACTGCAATCCATTTTCATTCAGACCTTTGAAATATTTAAGCTCTAAATACTTAAATATTTTAAATTCTAATCTCACTGACTGAAGCAAAATACAAATACCACCAAGCGTTAGGAACATTATGACCTCTAATCCATATTTTCTATTATAAATAAAATAACTTGGGCTTTTCTCTGGAGGTTCCACCAACACTCTGGAACAGATTTAAGCACATATATATATACCTATATGCCTACATCTGCAGGAAGGGAGGGAAATCACATTGGCCAACAGTTTCCATTTTTCTATCAGAAGAGCACCACTGAATCCAAGCCACAGTGGAGTGCATTTTACCACGTAAATATCTCATTCTGAAATATGTTTGAAAGGCACTCTACTCACCTGTAGAACTTTTCATTTTGACATCTAATAACAAAGGAAAAGAGAAATATGTTAGTAAAAAATCTTAAATGCCAGTGCAAACCAGAAAAGCATCAACAAATTTACAACAATGTAACGCACGCCCTTTTTTGGGTCTGAGTTCAGACAGACAGACAGACAGATATAAAGGGATGTTCTGGAGTAATAGGACTATAGAACTGGAACAGTTGAACCAGTGCAGTCCTAAAGTCAAACTGGTGGCAGCAGCATCCATGGGGCAAGCTCAGTAAAAGTTGCAGCCCACAACCTTACTGGCCGGTGGCAACCACCAGCCCCAAATGCACTCGATTCTCTGCTATGCCAGGAAGTCCAGCTGGCTTCAGGGCACGGCAGAGTCTGGATGGGCAAGCAGGTAACCTCTTCGAGGTCTACATGGGCACTGCCACCCCGTTACGCCATCCTCCATGCCCATTGTGTACATAGACCTCAAACACACGCAAACAAAAATTTTCAGCTAAGGGTTGCGATCCCACGATCACACTCACTTTTGTATCAACTGGTTTTAAAAGCCCCCAAAACAGACAGTCTAGATGTTGTTGTTGCTTTTCTGTCTGGTTGGCAGGCTTGCTACAGAAGGAGAGATCAAAAATATTAATTGGGCAGAAGTAGGAATGTACAGATTCTGCTAAATCCATTCTGTTTGCATTTGGTGGATTAGAGGCCTCTTTCATTCTGTCATCCACTCATTGGTTTTCTTTTTTTAGCAATGCTTTAGAATTTCTTTCCTGCTCACAAATGTACAATTTGTACATGTGTGCTAATGCACACCATGTAAATCCTCCTCAGTTAAAAAAAAAACAAAAACCCTGGTCCACAAGTCCACAGAATTTGTACAACTTGGAAAAAGCTAGTCTGCTGCAAACTCTGCATGTGAGAGTCCTAGAAAACCAATTCATTTGAATCCAATGTGGATTGCTCTAAGATCCCAAGATAGAATTATTATTTGCATAGTTATTATACTTGTGGGATTTTGATACTACCGGAGTCTATATGTTGTTGAATCCAGGGGAGCACCTTGATAAGATCTGTAAAAACTCCCGGTGTTCCTCTTCGATCATACTTTTTCTCCAAGTTATGCATCCAGCTGCGAGCACATCCTATGCCCCATGAGGTTACCCCAATCAGGGTCCAAGAACCATGCCCACGCTTGCACACAAGAGATCCCCCAGAGTCCCCCTGCAGGAGAAGCAAAAACACATCCCAAGTGACTCATACAAACACCACATCCAGACATTCCCTGAATGATCCCTCAAAAGTATCTCCAGTTGGATAGAAGCAGTCATGGAGAAGACAGTTCCCTGCTACTTCTGCATGTCCCTGAGATCCTTGTAGAACAGGAGGCATCCTTGGGACATGTGATGGGGGTAGGTTGAGGGGACACATGGCACAATGAGCAGGGAGGGGGAGAGATGGAGAGGCATCCAAGTGATTGTGGCCAGATCTTTGAAAGGGTTGGCCTTACAAAGGGAGAAGCCGCCATCTGAGAGTCAGCTGGGGCAACGACATGCCTTTGGCTTGCATGGCTCGTGGATGCGCCTCTTGACCCTTCCTTGGTGAGCTGGGACCTGCCAACAATCATCCGGTGCTCACTAGCCTGCCTGGGACTCCTCTGATCTTGGATTATCTGGCTGTTGCATTCAGGTATTTCAGTGCCAACTGTCGCGGGAGTGGGGTCGCACTCCACGGGGATGGGGAACCTCTTTCAGCTGAATTCAGCTTGGGAAAAGCTGTCAGTGGCTGCATTCCAGCGGTGGGGGCAAAGACAAAAATAAATAAGGAAACAAATAACCAAAATGCTGGCCTGTCTTAGCTGAAAGCGATTGCTTCCAGTAAGTTAAAGTAAATTCTAGCCTTTTAGCAGGTGGCAAGGGAATGCTTCAAAGCCAGGAAATCACTGAACGGTTGGCAGCTAAGAGGATGGGATGTGACTGCCTGGAGAACCAGATGGTCCACAGACCTTAAGTTCTCCGGCCCTGCCATACAAATTAAGAAAGATGCTCGGAGAATGTGCGGCTTCCTTCTGAAGACCGTGATGCTTCAAGTCCCTTGGTGGACCTCTGAGGTCCTGATGGTCGGAGAATGTGGGTGCACCTTATCTTCTTTTCAGAGTGTGAAGGCCTTCAGTGCAGCCTCCTCTTCAGGTCTCAATGCGTGGCTTCTGTCCTGCAGCAACTGGTTGGGGCTTGCATTCACCCCTCTATTTCTGGCTCTATCAAATGACCTCTGTTATGGGGCTGGCATGCTGTGGCACCACCTCATTTCTAGAACCTGAATAAAATCTGGTGTTTTTCTGTGCCAGTGGCAGGAAAACCATTTTTCATTTGCTGGAGTATGAATACTCAGCCTGGCCTCTCAAGCTTAGATGAGGACTTCTCAAAGCAGAAATAGGGCACCCTGGAATCTTTTCTAAAATCCTTTGCAATGTGCTGACATTTCATGGCAGATCTGCAGGAATTGCTCAATAGAATGCTCAGCAGGCACAGCTTTCTCTGAGGTGCAAAGGGTCCAGCAAAGGCAGAAAGTCTGGGGAAGTGGGGAATCACTATTATACCTAATGGCTATGAGTAAGAACTCTGTAAGCATGTGAGAGCCAGCACACAAGGACAACAACACTTGACTTTTGCTGCTGCAGAAGACTAGCATGGCTCTCCATCTGCTATGCACCAAAGCAACATCTCTAGCTACCTTGCTCTGATCCATCAAGCTCAGTATTATGCCTATGCTGACTGGCAGCAATTTTCCAATGTCTTCTCCAGGAATCTCTCCCTGGAGATGCTCAGGACTGAACCTGGGACATTTGTCATGCAAAGCATGAGGAATGGGCCTTTCCACTAAATGTGTCCTTGAGCAGGTAACAAAGCTGGAGGTAACAAATGCCAGTGCGGACACTGGAAGTCGTTCATTGCACCAACCTGGCAAGCATCCTTTCCTCCATCGGGGAAGCCAGCACACATTAGAGTGTCACCACGAATAGGTTTCTTTAAAGTCGACAACACTCTAGAACATTCATACTGTTCTAAGATGGGCAACTCCACTTCATGCAGGACTTCAGGGAGGATTCCATCTGAAGAACACAAAGTACATGAATCTGGCTAGTACAAGGCCACTGTTTGCCCATCAGCCCAGGACTGTCCACTCTGACCTTTGGTGGATCTCCAGGGTCTCAGGCAGAGGTCCTTCCTATCACTTACTATTTGGTCCTCTTTTAACTGGAGTGACTAAGACCTGAAACTGGAACCTTCTGTTGCCATACATCTCTTCTGCCAATGAGATGCGGTCCTTTCCACAAAACAATAAAGCCACACAGTGAAAGGTAGAGGGACAGCAGGAAAGCAAGCGTCAGTTAAGAGTAGAATCCAATGTGTGTTTACACAGAAATAAGTTGCTCATCGCTCACCGTTCCTCAGACTGGCTGCAGAACGCTGGGAGTGAGAGGACATTTGCTGTCTAAACATCCATAGAGTTATGCCTCTAGGATACAGTCCTATGAGGATGTCCACAACCATCCAAACATGGAAGAATATGGGCATCCAAGGAAGGATAAAAGGAGCACAGAGTGAAGGTTGCTGCTGTGCTCTTTTGCCCTACAGAGCACTTAGAAGGCCAGTTTTCACCATCAGCCCTTGAGCAGGATGAGTGCAATAGCACCCTGCAGCTTGTGTTTGCTGGTATTCAGACTCATACCATCTCTGATGCTTGAGGCAACATATAGATTCCATGCATAGCAGCCACTGATAGCCTCGTCCTCAGTGAATCAATCCAGTCTCCTTTTGAAATTTCCAGTTTGGTGCCATCACTGTATCTTGCAGTGGCAAATTCAATAGTTTTAACTACACGCTGTGTGAAAAAGCACTTGCTTTTATCTGTCCCAAATCTCCCACCATTCCATCTCACTGGATGGCCTCCCATTCCAGTGTTATTGCTTCACCCCATGCATAATTTTATATGCCTCTATCACCCCTTGTTTCTAAGCCAAACAGCCCCAAACATGGCAACCTTCCCCCAACAGGAGTTGTTCTAGGCTTTTTGGTTGCCTCCCACTCATTTTTAATAGTCGTTCCTTAAAGAAAATACTCTCACAATTAATACCAAAGGCTTACTTTCTCTAAGACGACCCCAGCCACAAGTGATGCATATATATCCTGGATCAAACTTTTCCTGTGGATCAGGAAGACATACTGGCCAAACAGCTGAACCTGCCATTAAAACAGATCAAAGTGCTTGTAACATGTCTAAATGAATTGCGTTAATTTGCTTTACATACCAAATGCTTTGGGACATTTACCAAGGGATCTAGTTTAGAAGTTAATTGCCACAAGCATTTTAAAACTGATGTTCTAAAATATATGCGCACAAGGATATATACATAGGAAAAATATTCTGTCAAACATCATTGAAATTAAAGGCAACATCAAATGGGCTCTCTCACTTTCTTCATGCAAATTAGTCTTAGACTGTGTTTCTCAAATATTTATAACCTGGTGTTCTAAATCCAACCCCTTTTTTCTCTCATCCAGAGTTGCGTTGTGCAAGAAACTGATTCTATACAACTGCAGTCCTTGGACAGAAAATCCAGGATCCTAACTTGCTACCAGCAGCACTGGTTACTTCTGTTCAACGTTGCGCTTCTCATTGTACTCCCTTTCGGTTACCAACCAAGGCTGTCTGCTGGCAATTTTGCCCAAATGCACTATCACTATGCGCAATGGCATCATGGCAACAGGGCCGTCTTAACAGCATTATGGGCCCCGGGCAAAGCAGTGTACTGGGGCCCTACAACAACTACAACTACTGTTAATTTGGGAAGTTTTCCGATTTTCCAAGGGTTAACATACACAGATTAGTATGGGGCCCATGGGCAAGTGCCCATCAGGCCCATGCGTTAAGATGGCCCTGCATGGGAAGAAAAGATTTAGCCAGTCCATAGTCTCCTCACCAAATTAGCCATGCACTGTGGCATGAATAAAGCTGTTTATAAATAAATAAAGGCACTGCTTGTTGGCTGAACCAATCCGGTAATGAGAAGTTAGAGCAAACCGCAATATTATTTGATTCTCAATCATTTCCCCACAAGAGTTGCAAACAGTATCTAGAATTTCATAACTGCGCAGACCAATGATGGTAGCCTTGGTTATTCTATTAGATGACTACATTACCATATTTAAAGTGACCGTTCATTTTCAGAAGAGCAATGTCATAGTCCATTGGTTTCTTGATATTAAATTTGGGGTGTCTGATTATGTTTTCTACACGTAGGGTTTGCTCTTCCTTATCTTTCAGGTTCAGGTCATGTTCTCCAGCTGTGACAGTCAGCTGCCTGAGTAGAAATCTGGAGAGTAGTGGAAAATCATTATAACAAGAACAAAATTGTTCTTTTTTTTAAACTAAACCAACCCCCAATTGTATATAGAAATGTTATTGCATAGCACACATTTAAAATGTGTATTTATTTATTCATATTTATTCTTTTTTGAATGTATATGTTGCCTTTTAATAGGCATTTCCAAAGCAACGTGCATTTAAAAATAGATAACAAAATATATATCATTCGATGAGCTAGGCTGGATCAGGCCAAGGGTCCATCTAGTCCGCTATTCTGTTGCTACAATAGCCACCCAGCTGCTCTTGAAAAACCCACCAGCAGCCCGTGAGTGCCCCCCTGCCCAAATCTGCGGGCAAGCGATACACACAGGTGTACCGCCTCTGATATTGGAGGAAGCGTACCGGCAGGTTATGGGCGGTTTCTGTTCCTGAGAAAACAGAAATTGGTCTTTAAGTTGAATCTGTCTGTAAGCTGGATCATGTATAGTCAGCCTTCAACATTTGCAAGGGTTAGGGGTACAGGACCCCCGTGAAAGTGGAAAACCCATGAATGTCTCTAGGCCTTCCCCCAACCCAAATTCACCAGTGCCTCCTCTTTACAGCAAGGAGATGCCAGAGAGATTTCCCTCGCTGGATTGCGGGGGGGGGGGGGGGCAGAAAGTCTTGCTTTGGAGCGCCCCCCCCACCTGTCTCTCTATGGTAATGCTTTGGAAGCTCTTCCTCTCTCCCCTTTCATTTCCTCTCTCTGTATGGTGATAGCAATTTTCCACAGTAATTTTTTTAAATTAATGGGCTTTATGGCATTTCGTTCATAAGTGCAGGTTGCTTATAACTCGGATGTTCATCACTCATGGGCTACTTTTATAGCCATCAAGTCTAGCAGCAATTGAGAGTCTTCTCTGTCATGCATTTGCCCAATTCCCTTTCAAAGCCATCTGAATTGGTGGCCATCGCTATATCTTATGGAAGTGAATGCCATAGTTTAACTCTGCACTGTATGAACAACATCTTCCTTTTAACTGTCCTGACCCTCCCACCATGGAAGGACCCCAGGTTCTAGAATTATGCACGGTTCTGTCCGTCTCAATGAAAGAATGAATGAATGGTCAGACATCCAATGAATTGTCCATCTGTACCTGCTTGCAACACAGTGAGCTGCCGTGATGACCCACTGGGTGGAAACAAGGGTTCCACCGCAGAAATGATGGCTATTTCTTTTCAAGGAAACCTGTAGCATACAGAGCACATGACACATTATGAAATACATGTCTTGTTGCATATCCAAAAAAGAGGCAGAGAGCAGAACATATGAGGTACATTGAATGGTTTGCTTTGCATGAATGGGTAGCCGAACCCAGATAGGCACCGTGGCCCTGGAATTTCTCACTTCCCAAGGAAATTACAGTGAGGATTACTATCCCAGAAATTCAGCTCCCAGGAGCTCCTTTTGGCATAGCCAATGGTGATGAAGAATCCTAGGAGTTGTCATCCAAAACATCTGGAGGATCACCTGTTGAGGAAGGATGGAGACGTGGATACTGGGCTAGATGGACCAGTGGTCTTGCTTTGCTTCCTACGCTCCTAGAGACACGGAAGGAGCAAAGGGCATTTTGGAGGAGGGCAAGCTTGCCCTACAGGTTAGATTCTTAAAGGAAATAATGATATATTCACCATGAATAATAATAAAGAAACATTGTCTTGATTTTGATGGAGGTAACTTCAAGGAAGCTTTTTTAGGACTGTAAACTAATAATGTAAACTCTAGGACTGTAAATTGTGATATCATGGTTAGACTGGAATTTAGGAGAACTGAATTCTAGTCCCCACAAGCTATGAAGCTAACTGAGTGACTTTGAGCCAGTCACTGACCCTTAGCCTAACCTACCTCACAGGGTTGTTGTTAGGAGAATAAAATGGAAAGGAGGAGATTATGAAAGCCACCTTGGGTTCCTCACAAGAGGAAAAAGGGTGGGATATAAATATCATCAACAGCAGCATCCAGTTTATGATTTCGATATAATTTGAATGCCAAAGGTGCCTTTCCTTCAAGTAGGCAGAAACACCCAGGAAACCGTGAGTCTAGCGGTGGGAGGGGTGACACAAACTATTCCTTATGGGGCACTTACCTCCTTTGTCTGGCCTTGCCTACGGATCTGAGAATAAGTTTTGATTTTTCAAATGACTGGAACTGTCTACTTTCTTATAATGGCTTTTACTATGAAAACAGTATGATTAATCACACAATTTTCTGGCAGCCTAGAGAAAAAGACAATTGTTCTTGCTGTCAGTATCTGCTCCAGTGCTCTTGGCAAACAGCAGCCTATGAAGCAAAAGAACCTATAAAGTAAAGGTCAAAGACATGCAGTTCTCCAGATTTTTCTCTCCTGCATGATAGATGTTAGCTTTGAAGTAGGTTTGTGCTACAAAGTGGGAGCTGCTCACCTGCCATGGATGGGAACCTTGCTGCACCTGGCTCCCACCAACAATCCGAGAGAGAGAGCTATATGAATGCCATGGATTTGTTTCATAGACTTTCTGCCCACACTTAGCACCTGGAAGGCATAAAGTACAGAAGTGGGAGTAGGGAAAAAAGCACACTGTAGCGCTATTATTCTCTAATTTACCACAAAATATTAAATAACTTTTGAGTTAGTTGAATACATCTCATTGTTACCTACTGTATTTCTAATCAAGTCATCACTCGTGTTTTTAAATTTAGGAAGTACAACTGAATGTTTTCTCCATTTTTGCAGCTTTACCTTTGCAAAGAATAGCTCAAGCTATGTTTATATCATTTACAAAAGTAACAGTGCTTCTGCACATTCAGACCAAAATAAAAATGGTGTTATCCAGAAATCGAGAACCTAACTTTACACATGCTAAACAGCAGAAGGAAAAAAAACAACTTCACACTTTATTCTATGGTTATCAAAGCTTATTGCCAAGATTTTAACATTTGTTATTAAAATCCCACAACATGTTGTATTCTTAGACCAAATGAAAGTGAAAAATCTCTATCTGAAGAAGTTTGTTAAAGGTGAAAACTTTTGTGAAGATATTCCAGATTTAGCTTCATATTTATCACATACCCCACTGCACATTTGCTTCCCTTTATGACTATCTCAGTACCCCCCATTTCTCCACATCACACTAAACTGATGCAAACAATGGGGGTTTAGAATAATGGGTTGTGTCCAACTCGGGAAAGGTCCTTTATTTCAGTGGAGCATGTCAATCACACATCAGCTCTGTCCCCCAGTGAATCATTCAGATGGCCATTTTGCTGCATAACAGTACATTTTGGACATGGGGGAGCTGGGGAAACCATCCAGTTCCTTGCAGAACAGCTGTGTGATTCTACCCTTGTTCCAACCAACAGCTGCCACTGGAATAAAATAAGTACAGAAGACTTTACAGAAATAGATGAAGCCAACGTCAGATGATTTTATTCAAAGTTATTCTGATTTCATGATTAGAAACTAATATGAAATTGTAGCCATACCTGTCCGCAGAGACGTTTCTGTAGAGCTTCGTTGTGTAAGGTAAGCAATTCCAAGCATGAATAAAAGCAGGTCAGCCCTAGCCATTGGCATGTTTAGGCAGTGAGTGACTAAGTTAAAAAGAGTGGACAAGTTCATAGTAGCAAAGAAGAAATTATAAGACAGTGGGAGAATAGAAGTGACTAATTAAAGTGCAGGTTATTCATTAATCCAGCCATAAAGCTTTTAAAAGGACACCAATAAATTTTTCCACATTTCACCAAGCATGCTTCCTTTTAAATTCTCCAGGAACAGATGTTCCTTACTGCTAAATTAACTTGATTCTCTTTCAAGAGGCCAGCCCATACATTGAGAAGAACAATAAGGGCAGGCCCCCTGGTTAGCCAGCACATAAGAATCCCATGCCAATATAACTAAAGATTAACAACAACATCACTTTAATTATGGTTGTTTCCAAGGCTATCACATGTGGATTTTTTTCAGAGTTAATCAAGTGTCCTTTATTTGTCTGACAGCAAAGTAACAGTTCATGTTGACACCAGAATCTAACTGATTTACTGGGAACTGCATTTCATTGAATTCAATGGTGCTTATTTCTGTAAATAGCTGGGATCTCAGTCTAAATGTAACAGTTAATTCTACTGTCATCGTGCATGGATAGCATCAACACTATGAAAAAATGGAAAAATATGATCTGAGTCTTCACCCATGGAAAACTTAAGAAGAAAGGAACATACGTTTTTTATTGAAGAAGTTGAAGAGAAAGCACAGAATCAGGATGTTATCATGAAAAGAGTGGTAGGCTCATTAGTTCCACCAAGCTGGAATAAACAAATGTAGACTGTATGCAAAGTCTACTTTCTTAAAGCAGTATAAACACAACAGAAAATCTTCTGGTAAGGACTGCTACTTACTACCCTGATTCATATAATGGTTGCACTCAAAACAGCAACATTGGGGATTGCTAGTTAAATGTGATTTGCTCTCAAGCTAATTCGAAGAGCTGCGAACATTTCTGGGCAACTTCTGTGGGACATCTGCTCATCAGTCCCTGTGACATCACTGATGACACATAACGCATGTATGTCAGTGACGATGTCGAGAATACTCTATCCCTGCAGTAAGGACTGGGAGGAAAGAAGCTCTCTTCTTGCTCTTGAAGCATTGAGTTGTAACCGACTGGAAGTAATAAGCCAAGCATTAGCCCTGTCTGGGCCATGCTGGAAGCTGGAGGTGTTTTTCCGTCTAACCATGCACAGGACTGTGCCTTTCCTGATGAAAAGCTAGGCGACTGTTCTCACCAATAACAGTCCCCAAGCTCTATAAATTCCTGCCAAGGCAGGCTAGATTGGTCCCCTTGCTGGCATGCTTTCACCAGCAAATAAAAGTGTTCTATTCCGGCAAACCTTTGGCACGTAAGGCAGTCTGTTGCTGAAGTGAGTTTTCAGTGGTTGGGTGCCATTTACTTCTTTTACTGGTGTGCTTTTTATTGTGTTTTACATTTGCTTTCTATTTAATACTTTTTTGCAGAAAGGCTCAATAAATCAAATAAATAGCACTTAAAATGCAGATTAAATAATATTGAGATAACTCTTCAGCCTCTATGGGTGGCTCTTTCCAAGCTCAGGGCCACACATCTCACACCCTGAAAGTACGTAACTTTGGGACACCAAGTTGCTGTTTTTGTTTGTCCATCATTTTTAGTACTCTGCCATTATATGGCATGACTTTTGAGGGGTTTGCTGCCTGATTTCTGTGGAAAGAACCATGACTGCTGATTTGTAAAGTGCTCTACATGGGGCTGCCCTTGAAGACAGTCCAGATACTTCAATTGGTTCAGAACAGAGCTGCCAGGATAATTAACAGGGACCGGCAGGTGTTCACATGTAACGCTGGTCCTCTATCATCTACACTGGCTGCCTATTGAAGTCTGGGCCCAATTTACGGTGCTGGTGACGACCTATAAAGCTCTAAATGGCTTGTGTCCTGGATACCTGAAGGAGCGCCTTCTCCCCCATGTGCCCTCCCACCCCTTGAGATCTGAGTCAGAGGCCCTCCTCCGGGAGCCGTCCTTGAAAGAGATCAAGAGCATGACTACCCGGAGGAGGGCCTTCTCTGTGGTGGCGCTGCAATTCTGGAACACTCTCCCCAGAGAGGTCCACTTGGTGCTGACGCTTCTTTCTTTTCGGTGTGGGCAAAAACCTTTTTATTCTCCCAGTATTTTAATTGTTAACTTGTTTTAGTTAGCAGGTTTATTTTAACATTGGATGCTGGGCAACTGTTACTTTTATTTCTATTTTTTAGAATTAATTTGTTGTAAACCATCCCAAGATGTCTAAGTATGGGATGGTATAGCAAAGTAATAAATAAATAAATAAATAAATAAATAAATAGGCTCTGGAGTAAGACAAAATATGGCAAAATCTTGAATTGGGACTAGAACATCCATAGCATGAGATAGGTGATGTCCCCTCAACACAACTGGTTTGCTGAGAAGACAAAATGTAGAAAGGGAGCCCTCTCTATGTCCCTGTGCAGGGTCTCTGAGCTGGAGTGGGGTGAGAACTCAGAGCTGCACAGAGGACGACAGATCAAAGGGTGGGCAGAGCAGTTCCCTTTCTGCAGCTTCGTGTCCCTTTTCTCCACTTCCCATTCTCCCCAGTCTTGCTGCAAGGATGGAGAAGGTGCAATGAAAGCTCCGGGCAGGAGCATCGGCAAGCACAACTAATGTGCTCCTTTATGGTTTGCCAGCATGTGCCATCCTTTCCACATCTTAATGGAACAAGAGATGCATGGAAGTAGAATACATTAATCTTAAACCCATTTTAGAACATGGTTTCTGCAAACAGACCTTTTTCAAAGGCTACCATCCTAGTGCTGTGGCGTCAATTCATGGGCGAATCTAGGTTCGCCACCATAATTAAACAGACAAAATCTTCAGGCCTTTGGTCAAGAGATTACAATAATTTTTAAACTTGGTCTTTCACTCCAATTTGCCCCACTCACACCTCTTAATGTGAAAGCAAACATAAGTGCATTTTGGGAGTATGCGGAGGAGGCAATCCACACATTTCCAGATTTGTGTTCATGACAGAAAAGCGTGCACTCCGAAACTGCACAGGTTTAAAAAGATAAACTGTTGTTATGCTGTAGTCCATTCCAAAAGTGTGGCCTGAAATGTGAACTACCCCCTGCCCCTGACAGATTGCAGTCAAGAGCAGCAACGAGGAGAATCGAGCAGCGAGGTAGAACTTCCTGATCCCTGACAAGCCGGGACCTTGCTGGTTCTTCCATCCCTACGAGAACATCAGAAATGGTTTACAGCCTGGTCTCTCTTTTGGGCAGCTGCTTCCTGATGGGAGAGTGCACTGTGTGTACACATTCAACCATGGACCATATGCCAAAAACAGTGGCACACCATGACAGCATAGCATCTGCTGGGCCTACTATTAGTCAGGGTGCAGTGGCCACCTCAGGTGAAAGCTGCTGAGAGGGGAGGGGGAAGTGCAGCAAAGGCTGGTGGGCAGAGGCTTGAGCCACGCAGGCGGCCCTTTGCCCCCCAAGCGAGCTTACTGTCCTCAGGAGCAGTGGAGGATGCTGTCCTGCCACCAGCATTCAGGGAAGACTCAACTGCCGCTCCAGTTCCTTTCCGTATGTACGAACAGGATGGAAGTGGGCCTTCTTGTCCTTCCCCCTGACCAGCCCTGCCAACAAGCAATAGCTCCAGGCAGCTATTCTGCTCAATACAAAAAATAGGTGCTATAGAGAGAGGACATGGCAGGCATCGTCTCCTCCTAAATACACAGCATCTACATGCATTGCTAGTATACGGCTTACAGGTAAGCTGTGCTATCAGGTGTGCATTGGGAGGATGCAACAGGTGCAGCCCCATTGCCCCAGACTTGGAAAGAGCTCTCTCAGAATGCTCTTTGGTTTCAGGACACCAGTGTGGCTCTGGAAGACCCCTTCCTCACATTAGAAAATTAAGGAAGGTAATTGATGAGCAGAAGTCATACCATTCGCAATGATTTAAAGAGAGTTGCTTTTAGAGCACAAGCCATTCAAAAGAGGCCATGAACAGGGCCTTAAATGCAAGCCCAACCCCTGCAGTTCAAAGAGGCCAGTTTTCTTTTCAAAGGGAATGTGCAACATTTCAGCAATGCTGACCTTTTAAAACATCCAAGCATTCCTGTAAGATAGACCACTATTTCTAGCAAAGGACGGCAAAAGAAATGGACCTCCTAAGATTGCTTGACTCCACGCCTCTTAAAACATTCCTGAAAATAAACTCCATTCTCCTTGACCATTTCTTGCTGACTTAGATTTTTCAAAAAGCTTTCTTTTCTTGTCTCCCTCAAACATTTCAGCCAGGTGAAGTCTCCTGCCAGCTCCTCCAGTTTCATGCTTCATGCGAAGCAATCCTGCCCAAGAATTCCTCCCACCTCTTTGCCTGTATGGCACATTTGGCTAAGAGCGCAGTCCTACGAGAGGCCTGTAAACTTCTAAACTTGGCAGGGACAAGCATTGAAGGCCGAGCAGGAATGGCAGTGGCACTCTTTGCCTCCCTGTCTTCCAACATGGCATTTTTGCTAGATGGGCATTTTCACCTGCCAAGCCGGGACATCTCAGAAGGGGAGGGAAACAGCCTGGAGTGGCTTCAGGATACCTCATACTCTGGCCTCTCCAATCTCTTCCTCTCCCCTCCCCACCTACTAAACTGCCCCCTTTTTCCTGACCTTGGAGAGCAGTTGGTGTGGTTCTTCCCCTGTGGGCTGTGAGGAAGCAGAGTGCCAGTTCCCACCTCCAAGACTGGACACAGTCTCCAAACTTACATCTGGATATCAAAAAAATCCTATAGCTCCTCATTGTAGTTTACTGCATGGAAGCCAACAATGAGCTGGGCCAGAGCCAGAAAATGACTAGGACTTTTCCCTATATGATTTCCTCAAGGTAATCCCCTATTTTATCCTCAAAACAACCCTGTGAGGTAGCTTAGGCTGTGAGATGGTGATTGGCCCAAAGTCATCAAGTGAGCTTTATGGTGGACAGTAAAGTTTGGAACCACAGGATCTCCCTTCCTAATTTGAGATTCT